AGGGATGAAGAGGCTGCAGATGAAAAGCTGAAGATGTGTAAGAGGCCTGAAGATTTCAGGAAGCGTTAGTTGTATCAAAAGCACTTAGCGGTATTTCAAGGGAGTAGCAAGTATTTTTGAGGAAGATGAGACTGTGGTGTTCTCTTTTAATTCAGGCCAGAAAGAGTTACTGGTTTAGACTGGAGTAATTTTAAGCTGGAAAAAGAAAGAAAAGATTGTTTTCTTGAGGACAAGTCGTGCACTGGAACTGGATCCTCTTGTGCTTTCTGTGTTTCTTTTCCTGACTTTTGTAAGGTTCTCATGGATTTATCTGCTTATTGTAGTTGTTATACACTGTGTCCTGGCTGCAGAAAATAGGACTCCCAGAAATAGGTACTACCTACAGAAATTGACTGTTGTGGTCTCTTCTAATGTTAAATGGTTCACGTTCTGATGGAGACCTTCCAGAACACATTATGCTGCCTGTGTTTGTTAGGACTGGAGAAAATCTGTCTAAAATACTCAAATCCGTTACATCAGTAACCTGTCTCCTGTTCCCTGGGTTATGACGGGGTTGGACACCTGCTTGATTTAAGTGCCTGGGAGCACATCTAACTTAGTAAATTACTTTAAATGTCTTTGCACCGGCATTGCTGTACAGCAATGGAAACGTGAATGGAAGGAGACTTGCAGAAAGAACTGGCTGGGAAGTGAAGCTTCTGAATGTCACTGGAAAGGAAGCACATTCTCAATCGGAAAGTCCTGAATAAACGTTGCTTTTTAGCTTTCAGCACAGTTGCCTGCAATTTATGTGTAATTTGCTCTACCTTTTGGTTATTTCTAGTAAGATAATTCTTACCAGACTGAATTGCGGTAGACCAGAAAGCGATGCCAGTTCAGATGTGGTCTGTGTGAAGATGCATGAATGTCTGAGGCTAAAATCCAGACTCAGAGGTTCTTGTGCAGTTGAGAAGTGTTGGAAGAACTATGTGAAATGAAGTTGGTGCAGCTATCCGGATTGCTTTGTTTTTATCAACTGTATTGAAGGCAAATGACTTCAACGGCTTAATTACAAGTTTGTGAACATTTTTGAGAGTTTGTATAGAAAGGTCTGATTTGCAGATGCTGGAAGGCAAGTTGCAGTTACTAATGCTTTTCTTCTTTTCAGGCGACCATTGGAATTGATTTCCTGTCAAAAACAATGTATCTTGAAGATCGCACGGTAAGTGAGGCATCTGTGTGATAGCATGGCAACTGCAGTCGTGGGAGCAGCAGTTGCTGTGCGTGCTGTTCCGCCTGGCCGTTCCTCCAATGGCTGCTGAAATCCCACAGCAGCCTTCAGAGGGACAGCCTTTGTTGAATCAAATCACTGACCCACTCTCCTGTTTGTGATACTTGTTAATGTCTGATACCTCTAGAATGAAGTCAAAATCTTTCATGCAAAATTGGGGTAAGCTCATGTCCATATCCCGGGGAATGGGCTGTCTATGTACCTTAGACGTAGTTTGTTCCCAGAATTTGCAGCTCTGCCTCTGGGATTGTCAGTGTAAATGGGTCTGAGCAGACCCCAGGCGGTTCCAAGTCTTGAAGTCATTCATGATTACCAGTGGTGGCATAGTTCCTCCTCGCAGAAAGGCTCCTTTTGTAACACAGTTCTGACGTACTGTTAATAAGGCAATTTTGGATTTAGCTTGCATGAGAGATTCCTTTTTGCATAAAGACATCCCTCGCATCCCTCTCCTGTCTTTCAGTATTTGTCTTTTCATTAGTTCATGTTTTGCTAGTACTTGCCTTTTTGCTAGTTTTACTAGTGGCTGAGAAGTATGAAACTGTTGGGGGGAGGAAGGGGGCAGTGGTGCGATGGAAACCCTTTGTGTGGCTTTGGGTCTGTTGCTTCTGAAGAAGTCTCAGCCCAGTGTGTGTGGTGAGTTCCCTGAGTGCTTCTCTGCCGTCTTGTCAGTCAGTATTAGAAAAGACCTTGCATAATCTTTGTTCGGGAGAACCTACTTGGATAACTTTCTTCAATGGTACTGGCAGTGGCAGAAGAAGAAAAAGATCTTGGGATTTCTGCTTGATGGCTGTGAAGGCAAGTTGGAATGCCTGTGTGCTGTTTTCAGCGGTGTAGTCTTGATTTCTTATGGTTGTGTAGGTCAGGATGTCATTCACCCGCTGGCCCGCTATCCAGAAAATACTATTTTCTTTCCAATGTCGGATATACTGTTAGCTTTCCTGACTATGTAAGTGGTCCACAGAGCCCATAAAGCCTGTTTAAATAACAGAGAGGTGTTGAATGTAGAAAAGAGGAAGGAGAGATACAGGCACGCAAGCTAGGAAAATTCAGAGGCTGAAATAGTTCTCAGATACGGCTAATGCTGTATTTTGCAATAGGCTTTGACTGCTGTGCTTTAAATGAAGAATGCTAAGCCTCTAACTGTGGTGTATGCTTTGGCATATTTGATATGTCCTTACACCAAATAATATATCCTGAAATTATACCTGTGCCAGATCACTCGGCTCTAAATATGGCCTGGGTAGCATGTGCTAGCCAGCAGAAGGGACACATATATGTGGAGCTGGGTTCTTCAAAACCGTCTCCTGTAGCCTCCCGCAGAGGGCAACTGTTCAGTGTGCCGTTTCCAGCATGTTGCCAGTGCACTGGGAGCTGTGGCACTGAGTGAACTGGGACCACAAGAAGCCCCATCCTCACTCCTGACTGTCGGGCTGCCAGTTCCATGTTACAGCTACAACCTCATTCTTGAAAGACCGAGTAGTATTTCGTTCACTGTGTCTCTCTATCTTCCCAGACTTGTTGGATTTAAGTCCAAGATAAGCCAGTCTAGAGGGTGTTTGCTGTCCTGGCTTTACGCCGCTATCCTGGCTTGTACCCCACTACTATGCTTCAGTACTTGACACCAGGCTTTCCAGTGGATTCATCAGTAGCAGGGTGATGATGTCCTTACGGTTAGGAGTGACCACATGTAGCTAGCTGTAGGCTGCAGTCTGCTTGTGTGGCCGTTATAGCCAGAGTCCCTACATGGCAGGGTGCACTGAGGTATGTATGCTTATTTCCCTTGTTAGCAGATGGTGTGAGAAGGTATTTTAGGGATATCGTGGTTTTATGATTAAATGGAAGAACATGTTCATGTGTGCGAGTTATTAATGGGTCTGTGGAGGGAGGGAGGTTTCTCAGACATGCCTGGCTGAGGTTACTGTGAGAATGCGGTTAGAAGTATTGTTGGCTCTTTTCACGTTTCTGTTCCATTTTAACTTTCCTTTTGTTGCATTATTTTTGCCTTGCAATTTTTTTCTTTTTGTTTTTATTTCACTTGAGTTTTGGTTTTGTTTTCCATTTTCCTGCTCTTCCCCTTCCTTCCTCCCCTACACTTTTCCATTTCCCAGATCAGGCTGCAGCTGTGGGATACAGCCGGCCAGGAGAGGTTCCGCAGCCTCATTCCCAGCTACATCCGTGACTCTGCTGTGGCTGTCATTGTCTTTGACGTTACAAGTAGGTATTGAGCCGGAGTGTCTGCAGGGACCTTGCTTTTAATGTGTACCTTTTATGCATTGGAAGTGGTGGTGTTACTGAAAGGAGCTAAGATAGGCCGTCAGCCCCAGGACTGTAGGTGTTTCATGAGCTGAGGGGAAGTAGCAGAGCATCTTCCCCCACAACCAATGGTAACTCCATCCCATAATACAGAAACTGGGGAACCGGAAAACTCCGTTCTGCTCAAAGCTCAAACTGTGGAAGTGATACACAGAGGATTGGCAGGTAGGTGAATAGGGATTGCGACTTCTCATGTGTCTGTGCTGATTGGAACGAAAGGTGATTGGTAGCCTCTGGAAAGCTTTCTACTCTTCGTGGTTTGGGGTGGGTTTTGGGTTGGTTGTTTTTTTTTTTAAACCTCAGAATGAATTTTTCTTCCTTTCTGGGTAACTAGAGAGGTAATACAAGTAACGACTGCAGATGCCAAAGCAAAAGAATACTGTCAGAGTACGTAAAACAGTGCAACACTCATTTAAATAAAATCTATGTAGCGACTTATGAGGATTCAAGACTTCCATTTCATTGAAGAAGAGAGCTGGTGATTCATATGGGTAACCAGAGAGCTTTTGAAAGAGGAGAGATGTAACTACCATAATTTCTAAAGAATAAACAAGTTTAGAGGGAAATTCTCTGTAACTCTTGGCATGAACGTTTTCGTATAAGATATGAAGGTATGAATACAATTATTTCATTATAACTCCTTGTTATTGATTCTCCTTGATCTGGCTTTTTCAGTTAAACTACAGTATCAGCATAAATATCTAGACAGGATATATACCAGTGAGCCAACACCGTGTGGACAAAGTCTAAGTAAAGATCGTAGCGCAGATGAAAAACCCCTGGCCCACCTTTATTCTGTCACAAACTCTAGACTATAGTGAGGCTTTACGGACCAGGGGTTTGTTTTGCTTCGGTTAACAGAAGTGCTTAACAAATAGTAAACTTCTATTGTGGTTTATCTTGCATATTGAGGGCAAATAATGACATGGTCTTTCTCCCAGTTTTTAGCTTAAGTAGTTGACTCTGGGAGGATTTCTGGTTTGGTGCAAACTAATGTAAAACTGAAGTGATCTGTTTGGGGTTTGAGGAGTGCCGAGACGTGCACGTGATGACTCTATGCTGGGAACACATCTAGGTGACACAGCGTGGCAGGCTGCATCAGTTGGCATCTTTTCTCCCCACTGTTGTGACGGGTACAGGATGCTGTTTATCCAAGCAGGTGGAAAAATCTTACCCCAGGCTAGGCTGTTCTTAACAGCTTCCAGACGTGTCAAAAATAATTAAGTGATAGCTGATCTCATCATGCCTTGGTAATGGTCTGATCTTTTCAGATAATTTCATTTTTTCTTGTTACTGCTCTCTGTCCCGTTCTTAGTGACTTGAGAGGCTTTTGGTTTTCTTGTGTTATTGAAGGAACATGCTTATGTACTTCTGAGGGCACGATGATGGTGAGCACTAGTGGGATTAGAAAAACAGTTTCCTTTACCACTCTTAAGAGCTCTATGTTTGCATTGTCTTTAGCGGTAACTGGGAACCTCAGATAGTCTCCTGCCAGTTAATGCTGGTCATGGTAGTGTAAAATAGGGACAGTCCCATAGGACATACTTAAGGGCCAGCCAAGATACTCTTAACTAGTAGAGAGAAACTGTTAGCTAGCATGTGGTGAGCTGAGAAGAGAAAGAGAAATTGTTTAGTTATTGTTAATCTACAGGGCATCTTGAAATGTAAGTGGCCTGTGGAGCGATCCATGGTGAAAGTCCATACTGCAACTTGGGCCCCTTTCTGAACAAGTTACCTTGTTTCTAAGAGGGGCTGGGTTAATTTTTGGTTGAGGCCCTTTCATCTTTCCAGACTGGTAGGGTTATTAGCACACTGTCATGTTTGAGTGGGTTATTTATATTTTCTCTTCCCCTCCAAAATGGGTGCACACAAACTTCAACTTCTAGAAACGAGAAGCCACAGAAAATACTGCAGCTAACTTTTTCAGGTCACTTCAGGGGTGCCTGCATGGTACCTGCACGCTAGCTGAAGGCCTTCCCTCAAATAGTGTTACCCTTCACTACAACAAGATTACCCGGGCCAGTTCTTCCCCAGTTCTGTGGTCCTTCCTCTAGTTGCCTTTTGGACGGTGAGTCTGAAGGTTGGAGTGTTTAAATCACCACCTTGGTAAACTTTCTGGGTGAACAGTCTGGTGTAGCAGCAATGTCTTGGGGACTATGTGGAAGCTCGTTGTGAAGTCCAGAAGCAAGAGCCAGAAGCTGCCATTATCAATCTGATCTTCCAGCACTGGTGTAATATTGTCCATGCGCTTGGAGTTTGTCACCCTGAGTTCCCTGGGGTAGTGAAGAGCCCTGACTTCTGCTACTGTAATCAAGGCTGTCTTCAAAATGGAGCATGAGCTAATTGCTTTAACTATAAGCCCTAATCTTTCTTAAGCCTCAGGGCATCAGATGTGCATACCCTGATGTAGGTACGATGTTGTTTGAATCTGCTTGTAGCAAGACGCTTTGCAGACACGTGCTCTGTCCAGCTTCTATTTCTCTTCTAAACAAGCCAATTCTTGGTCCTTCTGAAACTGCTTTCTCCCTTGTAGCCACTCTCCTGCAAGCTGCCTTATTAACCGCTGTTCTGTGCACAAACAGCTGCTCTCCCTCATTGCTGAACGAGTGGCTTTGTGAGCACATCTAACCAATTCATGTAATTAAGCTGGGAACCAGTATCTGCCCTCCTATGAAACTCGTGCCTGTTGAGAATGCCAATAGCGATCTTGTTTTCTGGCAGCGTAGTGCTATTTGTACAGCTAGCTGTGTGGGGTAATGACTTGGAAGGAAATGGTATCGCTCCCAGTTGTGAAAAGCTTTTGTTTAGCATTCACTGTGGTAGCTGACCATTGCTGTTTCAAATCGGCAGGTCCCAGACCTTAGAGCTGTTGTATATAATAGGTCAGTTTGTGTTTGGGCATAGTTCTGGAGATCGAACTGTACCTCTCATAGCATTTGTGCTTGTTTCTGACTCTTGTGCTTATCCGAAAGGGAGAACCCGATGCCCTTTGTGTCACGTGACGCCTACAGTGTGTAACATCTGCTTTTGCTTCTGCTGGAACTTAAGTTATTGATTGCCTTAATCTTGCATGAAAATCCCCATTGCCATCGTCTGGATGCTTGATGCTGGAGAATGGATGCTGGTTTACTACGTGGTGCCTGGGCTTGGAATTGCCTGTCTGTCACGTGGGAATTGCCCAAAAAGCTTTGATGTGAGATGCTCTAGGCTAGGAGTCCTGTGAAGACCCCATATGTAATGCTGGGTAGACCAGGAAGACCAGCTCTGTATTACTTGTTAGCTACCGCTATCAGCAATGACTGGAGGTAGGACCCATAACCTAGAGCTCTTTGGGATGTGGTGACCGGGGACACAGCAGAATCTCTAGGCAAGCAAAGGAGGTAATTAAAGTACATTATCTAGAAAAAGACTCAGAAAAGCCAACTTCTGTGGTGTTTGGATATTTGGGGCAAGATTACGAGGTCAACCTCAGCTTCTCAGATTGAGCTGCATACAGTTAATTCTAGAAATGGCCTTTTCTCTAAAGGACAGTTTCCTCCTTTCTTTTCTCTCTTGCTCTCTCTCTCTCTTTCTCTCTGCTCTCCCTGGCCTGGTACCAGCAGGTTCGGCTGCAGCTCTGGGACACAGCAGGCCAGGAGCGGTTCCGCAGTCTCATTCCCAGCTACATCCGCGACTCCACTATTGCTGTGGTAGTCTATGACATTACAAGTGAGTGATGCTTTGGTGTCTCATTATTTGAAATACTACATGTAAGCAGAACTAATATGTTACAACCAGAAGTTCTGCAAAAAGATGATGAACGTTAGAAATGGGTTTTCCCCGCCCTGTTTTTCTGTCTGAGCAGAAAACAATTTATGGGTCGTTTAATATGTGGTGTGGGGAGATTTGGAGAAGCACCTGAGTACAGGCATAGCATTCTCCCCCTCTGAAAGGAAGTTTTATCCTTAGCACTCCCATTTGCTTCTTCCCTACAGACTTGAATTCTTTCCAGCAAACCTCCAAGTGGATTGATGATGTTCGGACAGAGAGAGGAAGCGATGTCATCATCATGTTGGTGGGGAACAAAACTGACCTGGCAGACAAGAGGTAATGGAGGGGAGCCGGCGGCCTTGCTGCCCTGACCAGTAAAAGCAAGGAACTGGCCAACTAGTCTGTATTCAAAACAATTGTTGATTTTAAATGAAACATAAATAGCTTGTCATGAATTCAGATTTCTGGTTTCAGCGTACGCAAAGTTATTCCGTTTTGCTATTCTACAAATAGTTTTGGTTAAAACAAACCCACCTAAAAAAATTCCTTTTACTTAAGTATCTCTATACCATATTTCTCATTAGTGTATTTTGTCTGATTTTTCTTTTCATGCTGAGATAAAGCAAAAAAGATGTCTTGCAAAAGCAAGGAAATCTGCCTTTTTTCAGTAATCCTATTTACATGATTCTTTCTGCATGTGCAACTCTAAGTTCATAGTAAAGTTTCTTCTTGTTGCAAGATGCAGCATGAGACTTTACAGTATAAATCTAAAAGGTTTCCCTCTGAGCATAAATTTAATGTCATACATAACACAAACTGTGATGTTGCGGATGTGTGAAATCTAGGAAACTAGATTAGCAAAAGCAGACTTCCTCAAGAGACGTAAAAAGTTAATTGACTCTTAAAATCACGCGGACTTAACGTTTTGGGACATGTCATAAAGCATTTTTGCTTTTAAAACTCTTACAATGCCACTTCAACCAGCATAACCAATGTAATAGCTTCATAGAAGACCACAGGCTTGCGCTTTTGCATTTCTATTTCAAATTCTTCTCTTGATTGTTGATTTAGCAAAACTTTGTTTAATGTTTTCAGAGATTTTCATTCTCTGTGAAGACATCAGAAACAGTGTAGATAAGGAAGGATTTTTATTTTAATGGTTAGTGTCAGTAGTAGTTGGCAAAGGGAAGATGGAGTAAGCCATGCAACTCCGTACGGTCCCAATACTTTAAGCTGAACCATCTTCACATATGCCAGGTACTCTAAAATGTGTGCTTCATGTGTCATAGGGCACACGAAGCATTGAAGTGATGGGGAATTTTTATCTGATGCAATAGAAAGCATCTCAGAAAGGCAGGACTGGGAAACACCTGGATCTCACAACAAAATGAGGTCTTATGAAATCAAAACCTTATCCTTTGGCTGTTCACGAGACGCTTCTGATCAAAAGACAACAGCTTGAAAAGCCTTACAGGTGGAACATAAATGTTTTCTCAGAAAAACCTTGCACTGATAATCTGAACTGCCTGTTTGTTTAATCTCTTTCTTGGGATGATGGGCCTAACAGGGATCTGACTGTTTCGTTGTTGGATGCTATCACACTTTAAATTCTAAGCCTTGCTTTACTCACTCCTGCAGTGTACATAATGCTTCAGAATGTATTGTGATGTGTTTTTTTCCCTTGTGGTTTTGATGTTGTCCAAATGCTCGTATGAGACAATAGCCAGCATCCCTGGCTGCGCAGTATGGTGTCAGGAGATGCTTTTCGCCCTTGTCCCTGTGCGAGTCATGCTCTTTGTTTTTAGTTTGCCAAGCCTAGCAGGCAAAGCATAGACAGTTCTAATACCGGCAAGTGGTTTGGGTCGGTGGGGAAAAGGATAAAGTTAGGCTGCAGCTGGGCGCTGTGTGGGCTTTGTACTGATGGTTCTTACAGAAATGTGTTCTGTGTCCACCACGCAGACCACCTTAGTCTTGACACCTATTTGGCTTTTCCGACTTCCAGTGGGGGGGCCATTCTAAGTGTCCTGTGCCTTGCACTTTGGAAATATTGGTAAAACTTGGTGCTCAGAGCTTCGGAAATAGAAGAGTGTGTATAGCTGATTTGGATTAAGAATTCCAGGTGGCGAGACCTCAGATCAGTCTGGTCTCTGAAATCAGCTTACAAAAGCAACTGAGCAAAATCCGAGATGTTCTACTTGAGCCAGCTCTGGATGTTGACCACTTAGTATCTCTTATGCCCTCCTGGGAGCTAGAAATAACCGCAGCTCCCTAACTGAATAATCTGGCATTTAGATTTGAGGCTTTCGAATTTCTATCAAAAATCCAATTTCATGTGGAACCGGAAAACACAATGGGATAATTTCTGCCTTGAATTATTTCCTGATAGTACATAAGTGAAGTAGAGTGTGTGTGCAGGACAGCTGGCCCAGCACCGCCATAAGAATTAAAAATACCAGAAGATAGTTTGAAACATAGCTACAGTTGGAAGTTCATGTAGCGCTAGAAATTCTTATTTTAGAAGTTTAATGTAAGTGACAGTAGTCCTGGTCTAGGCTAGAATTTGGAATTATGGTGTATATCCAGGTATCAGTAAAAGAAGCTGCCTTGCCTTTCTTTTAAACGGAAGTTAGATTTGTGTTAGGCTGAAATACGGGGCCTTTTAAGGCTGGACAAAGCCCACAGTATCAGTCTGAACTTGGTCACATTTTTCGAAATAGAATGCAGCGTATTGGAAGCCATTCATCCTATGGTAAAACCCAAGCGATGATGTGAGTTAAATTCTGAGGCCAAAAAGCTGAACTAAAAATAGCACTGTTCTTATTTGGTGCAGCTTGTGAAGTTTTTCTTTTCTGTTAATGTTGCTTCAGTTGGTGGCTGGTTTTTTTTTCCCTGCAGTTTTCTTTTTATCATTCTTGGACTATTTTTCTTTGTTTTGGTTTTTCTTTTCTGTGATTTGTTCTCATTGCTGTAGACAGGTTTCTATAGAGGAGGGTGAGAGAAAAAGCCCAAGAACTGAATATGATGTATATTGAAACGAGTGCTAAAGCAGGATATAATGTGAAACAGGTATGTACAGGGTATTGATCAGAGATGTGTTTGCAGGTGCTTGCTCGCAAGCAGCAGCCTAGCATTTGCTGTTGCACCGTATTTGCTGCTGGAGCCTTTCTGACATCTTTCCGTAACCCCACAGAGTTCCGTTCTGTTGACTTTTGGGAAACTGCTTTTTGTATCAGGTGCAGCGTATGGGGATTCTCCCTTCCCTTAAGGACGCTGTGAACGAGGCTCAAATGTACTGCACACACTTCACCCTGTGCTGATCATCTGTTATTAGTAGTCCTAAGTCCAGGTGTTCCCTGGGTAACTTACCTGAGGTTGTTTCATTCTTAGCTGGAGGACCTGGGGGTCTTAAAGACTGAGAGGTCCTGAAGTCTCCGCTGGTGGACCATGCACTCTTGTAAAGAGGTGGTGAAGCAGCCCCCCGCTGC